TCTTGATTAATTCAGCTGGATCCCATCATTAGACATATAAAAGTCAGTCTTTGGATAAATGCTTGATGAACTATTGCTTCTTCAGATGGTTGATTTAGCGGTTATGAACTTTCATAGTAAACTGATGGATGTAGTCGTGTTAGGAAATCATGATAAAGAAAAGAAAATTGAAAATGTCTATGTTTTTTACCACCTACCACCTTTATTTGTAACTAACGTTACTGCAGTTTTGTCCTATAAGGATATTTTTAAACTTATACATAAAACTAACAATGTTTGAATACATTAGCCCTTATATAACACCACTGTAGGTGATAATAGAGGTACTTAGTTTGATTCAGTACTTGAATTTTGTTTCCTGGTGACAATGTGGATATGCTAATTTGAAAACCGGTGAGTAAACTAAATCGATTCAATCATTTAACAGAACATTTATTCTTGTGAATTTCCAAGGATTCCAAATAGTCGAGTTTGCAACCCTTCCTTGCATAGTGCAAAATTTCCGTATCGTTTAGATTCGAAAACTTGTGGTTGTATGCCAAGGAATGGTTTGAAAACGTCGAATCATTTTTACCTAGTCTGAAGGACATTCATACCATTTTTGGAAATTTCGATCACATTGTTCCATATAAACACTATTACACTTCGGACACTCACCTACACACTTGTCCACTTTGTCTTTGGCATTGAAAAGGAAATCAGGTAACCTGGCATGTGTTCTGAATGCCACTTCCACATTGTTCTGTGTGTTCCATTCTGTCCTGGTGTTTTGATGTATCTTGCCCAATAAAACAAAGTTAAGAAACCTAAAAACTCATGGATAACTGACGATGTTGTTCAAGAAGAAAAATGCTTAAGAGAAATGTTCCATCTGATCACCAGTTATGAAGAAATCGATGCCCAAAGCATGCTTAGATATAAAATAAGATTGAGAGAACATAAAAAAACAATCAAACAGAATAAAATTAACTATTTTTCTAAAAAAATTGAGAATGCAACCAACAAAACGAAGGAGACATGGAAAATAATAAATAGCGAACTAGGGAAACCAATGCATTTTGATGCTGGGGAGGGGGGCATTACTTTAAACTATAATTCAAACTTAGTTGGGAATGCTCAAAATATATCTGAATTATTTGCTCAGTACTTCTCAAACACTGCTACATCTATCATAGCCACCAACTTTGGACAGAATTTAACCCTACCCTGTACCAGTAGTACGAATGTCAGTATCCAACACCCCTTTGATAACAGCCCAATATTAGAATCTGAAATATGACGCTCTCAGATCAATGAAAAATAAGACGTCGACAGGCATTGATGAAATATCAATAATTACAGTTAAAGATATAATCAGTGCTATAACTGATTCACTTACCTATTTGCTGAACCAATCTTTCATTCAAGGGTACTTCCCAAAGGAATTTAAAAAAGCTTTGGTAATTCCCCTATTTAAAAAAGGAAATCATGCTGAGATTAATAACTATAGACAGATCTCTCTACTATGCTCGTTCTCAAAATTGTATGAGAAAATTGTAGCCTCCAGAATAAGGGAATATGTAGAAATCAACAACCAGCATGGTTTCAGGAAAAATCGTTCCATAGAAACAGCCTCTTATCTAGTGTTGCCCAAATTCAGTCTTGGTCTTGCAGTCTTGGTCTTGTTCTTGCGTTTTTGCAAGACCAAGACCAAGAACAAGACCGCGTATTTTTAGCAAGACCAAGACCAAGACTGACCGTGCAAGACTTGAGCAAGAACAAGACATAGCCTGCAAGACTCTTGCGTCTTGCAGCTAGGACTTAGCGCTATTTCACTGAGTAGTTAGGTGTAACAGTTCGGTGTAAGCCAAACAAAGAATGAACACCTAGATGACAAAAAGATTTATGGACTTCTGGCATAATATTCCAGGATTGGCTCACTACAAGGCGTTCATTCACCCTTCGAAGCTTGATACCAAACAGTTGTTGGATTACTGTAGGAATGAACTACGATATCTAACAGGCCTTCTTACGTGTCACTGTCATTTGAATCATCATATGGAGAGAATCGGACTGTCGCTAGACAGTGTGTGTTGCCTCTGTTTGGAAAAAGATGAAACAGCAGAGCATATACTTTGTGCCTGCCCCAGTGGGAATTCAATCAGGTTTTTAGAGTTCAGCAGAGCCGTATTCTGACCATCTGACCAGACCACTCACCATACAAATTAATCGGCTTCGTTAAGACGCTACGTTTATTTGGTCGAGTGTGAATAGGTGTAAGCCACAACAAAACCTTGCGGATTGCGGTGGAGGGTCGAATAGACCCACTCACTTGGGATCTAACCTAACCTAACATACATTGATGGGTTTGATTCAGTATACATTTTTTTTGAGTAAGTTTTCAAAAATACTTTAGTACTATTGATATATTTCATATAACCTATAGGCCTATAATATATTTTGCATGCACATACCTTAAAATCGCGTTGTGGTATTTAACTGCGAAGTTGAATTTTTCTCTTCTTTGTTGACAGTCCGTCTCGTCTAACGCATTAATGAAAAAAGATTTTACGTCCCTTATGCGTACAACAATATGTTGTATGGTTTCAAATACTTGCCATGCTAACAACCCCGCTAGCATGTATATGTGGTGATTTCCCAATAACTGAAGGGCCAAGTAAATTTGTTTAACCGGGGTATGGTTAATATCGAAGGGCATCCAGGTGTATGAAAAAAGCCCGCAGACTTCTTTGAGGTCATACAATTCGTTTTCTCTTTCGCATGATTCCCTTTTGAATACATTCGAAGCAAAAAGAATGAGTAAAATCAAACTCTCCAGGTAGAAGTAATGATATTTTGAATATGTGTTGAAAAGTTTGTTGTTCTCGTCGAACTTGACTGGTTTTCCGAATTCTTCGAAGTTGGACAAGAAGATGTACATTTCTGCACAGGCTGTCACTTTTAAAACAAATGAACCTATGAGGCCGTATGCCGTCGTGAACGATAGGATGTATATTATGTCCAGTTCGATGTAGTTATACTTTTCATCTGAAAAAAAAAGATACGTTATTTTCATTTGTTTTCAGAATACTATACACACATATAGATACCTCGAAGCTATATCTACTTATACGAGGTGTGTTCAAAAAATAATATTCAGTTTGTTGGTGAGAGGCATAAAAGTTAGAAATGTTTTCCGTGTTGGGCGATTTTCTGCGATCGAAAAAAAATGGATCAAATAATTTGCATAAAATTTTATGTGAACAAAATGGAAATAGGTTCTCAAAAACACTTGAAATGTTGATAGTGGCGTACAATGATTGTACTCTGATTTAGAAAAATGTTCACAAGTGGTACAAGCTTTTCATAGAAGGTCGTGAAGATGTGAGTGATGACGCTTGAGCTGGACGTCCCGGCACATCCACAACCGATGAAAACCTCTCCGGAAATTATGATCATGAAGTGCGTGGCAGCGAAGTTCGATGAACATCGTTTAGGAATTTTTGAGTGACGTCAATGACGATCCAAATTTGCTTAAAATGGTCATAGCTGGTGACGAATCATGGGTACATGGTTATGAAATCTAAACCAAAGTACAATCGTCCCAATAGAAGAGCCCAGGAGAGCCAATACCAAAAAAACGCCAAGTTGGATCAAATTTCAAAGTTTTGCTGACTGTTTTCTTCGATTACCTTAGTGTAGTTCGTCAGGAGATCTTGCAACTTGGTCGTACTGTCAATGAGGAGTATTATCTTACTTGCGAGAAACAATAAGGAGAAAACGTCCGGTATTGTGGAAAAACATTCATGGCTTTTGCATCACCATAATAAATCTGCTCACACATCCACCGTATTTACCAGATTTGACCCCTTGCAACTTGTTCTTGTTCTCAAGATTGAAGAGACCCATGAAAAGACGGCGTTTTGCGACGACTGAGAAGATACAAACCGAATCGTCAAAAGAACTCAAGAACATTATGGTATCCGTGGACTGTCCCTTAAACTTTTTGAACCCCATTTGCACAATAGATCACAGTGTGATACATGGGATTAAATCGAATGTGGAATCTGCCAAACGTGGTGTACCCCAAGGTTCTGTACTGGGGCCAGTTCATTCTATGTATTAACATATACTTCCCAAAAAACGTTTTCTATTTGCGGACGATACCACTTTGGTGAAGTGTCACAGTAATGTGAATGATTTGACTGTTTCTGCTAACGCCACCATGAAGTCTGCAAGCAACAGGTTTGTTTCAAATAGGCTTCTCCTCAACGAGGGTAAACATCAAAATCTTATAATTCCCACAAATACAAATTTAACCACGGGTAAATGTGTTAAGCTACTTGGTATCCATATAGACGACAGATTGAACTGGTCATGTCATGTTGACAAACAAGAAATTATCAAGTGTAATATTTATGATTCGTAGACTAAAGGAATTCGCCGGTATCAGAGCGGTTAAATCTTCTTACTTCGGGCTTTTCCATAGTCACATGGTATTCGGCGTAGTGTTGTGGGGGGATTCTTGTCATTCCAAAAAAATGTTTGTCCCGCATAAAAAAGTTATACGTCTGATATCAAATGCCTACTTTAGAGATCATTGTCGCCCACTTTTTAATAATCTTAAAATTATGCTGCTTCCTTTAGCCTTTATATATGAAACATTGATTGAAATTCATGAAAATAGATCCAACTACATTTTAGAATCGTAACAACATGAATATCCAACGAGATCAGAAAATCTTATAAGAACTGATAGATTCAAATCCAGCACCTCACAGAAAAATTCATTGAATTTGAAATTTTGTAATAAATTATTATGTCACTTAAAAAACTCAGTTTCTACCTTAAAGACGAATTCAAATTGCTTGTACTATAAAAAGATATCAGTTCTAATAGTGAACGAGCTCCTTACGTAGAAGCGTGTAGACACGCCTTTACTTCATACTATCTATGGCTTGGCCTTTTTTATGACAGGAACAATTGGTACAAAATTAATGAATAGTGGATATATTTCTGAACATAAGTTCATGGAAGTGTCTATGCAATTCCTATGAAACGGTTAGACTTAATATTTTAATTATAAGGTAGGGTTTGTAGCGTTAAGGCGTATCTAAACGCCCTCTCATTCAGAGCTTAGCTCACTATGAAATTTGATAACTTTTTCTCTTCTTGGCAATACTTCACATGAATATATGTTTGGAAAGTTACAATATAACTGTCAGGATGTCAATCAAAAAGATCAAAAACGTACAGAAATTTCGAATTAATAGGCTTCATCTATATTAAGTGGGCATACTTGAGGACTGGCTATAAATCAAATCATGTACAGGAACAATTCGTTCAGACCAGGTGTCATTTTCAAGAGGAAGTTCAATCTTCCTCTTGAAGATGATCACTTGGTGGTAGAAACACGTGTCGAGGTGTTGATAATAATAGTAATATTCATTACTACACCAAAGGTTCCAAACAATGCATCACAAATATTATTGTTTAGTAATTTATGCAGGAATTTTCTGTAAACGAATCCAAGCATCCTATTTGCATCAGCAGTCATATTCCTTATATGTGTTGTAAATGTTAATTTACTGTCGTATGTTATACCAAGATCTTTTATCTCATGTACGCGGTTGATTGTAGTATTGTTGATTGAGTAATCTTACATTAAAGTTCGCTTTTTTGTTGTAAATGTTGCAGTTGTAGACGATTATTATTACTCCAAACTTTGATTACATTCATGTTGTACACGTTGACAGTCAGTAATGTCGTCGATTTTATAATAAAATTTCACGTCGTCTGCAAACAGTAGGCTAGGAATATGCAAAGAGGTTGTCAAATCATTGATACAAATTAAAAATGAAAGAGGTCCAAAATTAGAACCATCTGGTACCCAGATGTAACTACGTACTGAGCCGATGTGAAAGATTCGTATTCAACGAATTGTTTCCTGTTAACTAGCTATGATTCAATTAGAGTAAGCAGTTGGTTAGAGAGTCCCAATTTTGTCAATTTGCTGAGAAGAACATAACGGTCTATTTGTATCAAACTTCGAACAAATCTGAAGCGAACGACAATAGGAAATCATCGACTTCGTGTTGATGTGGGATACTACATTGCACTGACAAGAGACCAAAAAGCCCGAAACCGGTCTGCAAATGTTTCCGTTCCAATGAATAAAAATCGATTCTGGTAGTTGTATGGCCAAAGGCATGAGCAGGAATTTTTTCTGTTAGGATTCCTGCACTAACACCTGTCGGATATAATCCAAAGCTCGTCGTGGTATTAGCCAGGAAAGTAGTTGTTTTCTGAAAGGTGTCAGTCCATGAACCTACTGTGTAAGTGAAGACTGGCCTTTAGATTATTTAATGGGCTTCATTGAACAATTTTGATTTCATTCTACAATCACAGTGCAATTTTACTTCATCTTTTCTCTTACTCCTGATAATAATTGGCACATCCACGTTTATTTTTTGATAGTCATTTCACGTAGTATTTTGACAACTCACCTTGAATAGTTTTGATGAGGTGGAGTATACTTCCAACCAACGTCAGAGAAGTGCAGATTGCTAATACAAAAAATCTCCAATAGAAAAGGAGTCCAGGATGTAATACCTTATTTTTAGAAGGAAATACTCCGTAGATTCTCAGAATTCTTATAGAAGTCGGCATACAGATTATATCAGTTGATTTCATTGTTGCAATTGATGTATTCAAATATCAAACGTACCTTATATACACCTACGAGTATTTACTCTCATTCTCTTAAAGACTGTTATCGGCTAAAATAGAACACTTGCTGTTCTTGATACTTAATATGCTATTTGGTTAGCATAATTGCATCAGCAAGTAGTTTATTAGGTGACAAATTAGTACTCGTCAAGATTCAGAAATATCGTGAATAATTGATTATGAATTGTAGGGTGATGTTATATATTAGACGTTTTCAATGTTCTTTGGATTTAATATTACGGAAATACCATACTACCATAATACCATACTAAAAATACTAGTATTTGTCGTTCGTTATTGTTTAAAGCTCATTAGAAAACAGCAAAATACCCGCTCACACCAATAGGGTGGATAGACGGGGCATAATGTTCTCGCACGTGTACGCCTATGTAACATATTTTTATTGTCAATGATTTCCTTTTTGAATCATTTATGTTCAATAAGACTCGCTGATTCCTCAAACTACATATAATTTTAGTTACTCCAGTTGATTATATACTGATTTAAATATACATACAAGCTTCCTAAATCCGCCTCTTTCACTTTGGTTTGGAATTTATCTAGCTAATTATCTTATTATTCAGTCTGAACAAAAAATAGTTTGGATTTGAGTTGACCATAGTAGAAACTGATAAATTAAGAAATCTGAAATTTTGATTACCTATATCACATACCTCGATATTTCTTCAGTCTAGAATACTCAATAATAATAATATTTTTTATTGCATTTCATCGGTTCGGACTTCCATTGTCTAATATAATATGAATTGATTTGAAATTTCTGGAGAAAAAATTAAAAAGATTAACCGAAAATAACAATTTAACTAAACAAAAAACTGAAATTACACAGAGATAACATACAAGCTACNATTGAAAGCATGCTGTACAAATTTGATTGAAGAATTAGCAGTCCATAATAAACTCTGAAAAATGTAAGTTTTTCTAACACCGAATATCCCAGTTTCATCATACAACGACTGGGTACAATACCTCCGATCTTTTTTCATCATGATTCTTATTAATGAATTTTTAATCACTTTTAAGTTAATTAGCGATGTCTATACTATCATATAGTTAGTTAGCCAAGGCATCATACACCATCAGTATCATTTCCCTGTTTAATATATTCTTGAGCTGATGAAATGTATACAAGGCTATTCAAATTCGTTTCTGGACATGGGGATCTCGTAAACGATAAGAGATAGAGTGTCGGTTGAATTATGGCAAAGTTGCGTATTTTAGAGACCTATTCAATGATGTAAAGAAATCGAATATAGCTCCTTTGGTTCTGGAGATATTCAGGAAAAACAAAAAAATCCCAAATTATTTGTTTGCCTATATCTTCTTTATTCGCAGACATAATGAAAATCTGTCCACATTTTGCTATTGGCACTTGATGTGGACTCTCAGAATATATCCATGAATCTTTTATACAGGGTGTCATCTGACTTGGGCCACCTCCATCTTTGCATTTTTAAATACGGACCTGTATTTTTTGTTGTAGTTTTTGGATCGTAAACGTTCGGGATTTTTCGGTAATATTCGATTATAATTGTGTGAATTATTCCCTTTTGAATTATGGCAGAACTTTGACGCTCAATTTTCGGTCGGCCGGACCGGCCTTGTTCGATAAGGTCAACTTGGTTAGCGACCCGCGCGTCTAGAAAAGTATTACAGTTTTTGGTACGTTGACGTTCTAAAGGTAATGCTGAATAACTCTAGAGGGTATCACCAAATGTAACTAGCGATTTTATTGAACTTAAAAATTTTGTGAACAACAATTCAGGTGTAAAATTATTCGGGTGATTTCCATTTCGTTTTGCAATGATTCCTTTCTCTCAATACTTCAATTCTTCTGGCTTCTCATCAGTGTTATGTACGAATACGTAGCTTTCATTACCTGAAATTGAAAAACATGACGTTAAAATCGTAGTTAAGGAATGGATAGGGTGACACTGTTGATGAAATCGCCATCTATAGGATCGATATAATAATTAAACCTCGCTAGATTCGATATGAACAAATGAGAAATCGATATATCCCTCTACAGCTTTCACTGTTGAAATTGATACATACGCCTTCTATCATTGCGCTCCAGAATTATAAATTTTTTATTTGACAATAATTGCTAATTAGGAGAGCAATGATATATTTTTGTTTAAGCTCGTGTTCGATAGATGTGTGAAAATGGTGGTTTCGGTAGGACTTCTTTTAGTTTGTACCTGAACAAAACGTCAATGCATAATCTATAGTTTTTTGTAAAGAATTCATTTCTATCTTCACTCTTTGGAAAGTTTTCCACATTATTGTATGAAGATGGAGAATTACAACGCTTTTGTCCCACAAGCTACATTATAGTAATCAGTCAGATTAGAAGTACCAAGAGGGGTATTTCACCTCTACTTGAAACACCATATTTGATGAAAAATCGAAAGTATAGTTTTAGTTTATAACCTATTTCGATGTTCAGTGAACTGAAAACTCTCTATACGGATGATGTATAGAAGATAAATAGAAAAGTATATAACTTTAATTACTTTGCCACTTCTCAGCTTATTACTCAGCTTATAGTATATATGATGTAGCGATTTTCAGCCAATTTTTCTCTACGAATTCAAACTGAACCAAAGCGCTGCCAAAACAAGATCCTGTTACCCAACCAACCCACTTTTCAGGAAATTATAGTGTTAATGGACGCACCAATCGGCGTAAGTTGGCAAAAATTTGTTCCGGAGATCTTAGACTCGAAGATGTAATCCTGGAAGAGGATTTGAGGACCCTGGCGGAGACTGTCCCACCAAAATCGGTGCGTGGGATGGCGGAATCACTGGGCGTCAGCTCCCATGCAGGAAAGACCAGAAAGCTTGGAATGTGTGTGCCCCACGATTTGAACGATCTACATAAATTGTTACGTTTCGAGATATGTCTTCTTGCTTTGTGCAACCATCACATGTGATGGAAAGTAGATCCTCCACGACAACAGGAGACGTTCAGGACAAAGGTTGGACACCAGTGAGCCACCCAGGCCCTTTCCAAAGGAAGTTACTGTATGGTGGTCAGCGGCTGGTGTGGATCACCATGTAGTGGAAATTGCGTCAGCAGCGCCGCCCAAGAATTAAATGAAGTGATCGTCGAAGTTCTGCCTCAGCCACCATACTACCCAGACCTCTCGCCAACCGGCTACTATTTTTTCAAGCACTTCGATAATATGTTACGTTTGCCAACTTACGTTGGCAAAAGTGCTCCGATTCAAATGGCGCTCATTTCAATTGAACTGAACGAGTATTAACTGAGATATTACAATCTAAAGTGGACTTATAAAAATGGACAAAACTTTTGGAATAACCTATTAACAATGAACTCTTACAACGAGAAACATTTCCCGGTCCATAACTCCAAGTGCAGCTGCTCGTAACTTCATTGAATTTCGTGATCTCATGATAAGAAACATTACGTCCCGTATCATTTCAGTTTCGAAGTCGTGCCAAGGGGAATTATAAACTGCCACTGCTAACTCTGAACTCTGGAAAAAAAATTGTTAGAAATAATTTAAGACTTTGGGACCATGAAACCAAAATATATTTATTTTGTTTCGATAAACCGCTTCGAATGGTTCAATTTACTTGAATTTTTGTAAATTTTAACCCACATTTCACTGCCTTTTGTTGATACAAGGTTAAAGTTATGCCAAGAATAGCAAAACTGAAAACGATTGCGTTACGGTTTTATTGATCGGCGTATCTAGATGGAGAAGATCTGGAAATGTGGAGCGCTCAGGACATATTCAAAATGTCTACATTTACAGAGGTGGTACATGATGGAGTTGGCCAATACTTGATGAAAATCCATAAAGTATTCAAAAAACGCTTTATTGTGAGATTCTCATTAAACAGTTTTACAAAAACGCATCAAGTGTTTCGCCATAAAATGGCTTCTTCGGGCGTATCCTTACAAGTTAGTGAAGCGGGCGTGTCTAGACACGCCTGAAGAAGCCATTGTATGGCGAAACACGTGTTTCGTTTTCGTAAAACATTTCAGTGAAAATCTCACAATAAAGTGTTTTTCCAAATTGCATATTAACATCTCAGTAAAACCTCGGTTAGGTTAGGTTAGGTTAGGTTAGGTCTAAAGTGAGTGGGTCTATTCGGCCCTCCACCACAATCCGCAAGGGTTTATTATAGCTCACACCTATTCACACTCGACCAAATAAATCCACCCTCTTAACTAAGCCGATTAGTTTGAATGGTGAGTGGTCTTTCAGGTCAGATGGTAAGAGTACGGCTCCGCCGAACTCTAAAAACCTAATTCGATCCCCAGCGGGGCAGACACAAAGTATATGCTCTGCTGTTTCATCATTTTCCAAACAGAGGCGACACACACTGTCTTCCGACAGTTCGAGTCTCTGCATATGAAAATCTGTCAGTGACCTGTAAAAAGGCCTGTTAGACATCGTAGTTCATCCCTCTAGTCCAACAACTATTTGGTATCAAGCTTCGAAGGGTGAATAAACGCCTTGGAGTGAACCAATCCTGGAAGATTCTGCCAGAAGTCCATAAATCTTCTTGCCATCCAGGTGTTCAATGTTTGGCAAAGCCCAAAGCGATGCCAATGACAGGTTCTGGGCCGATGAAGCTGCTTGCAGCACCCTTCTTTGCAAGGGAGTCAGCAGCCTCATTGCCAGGCCAGTATGGCCAGGAATCCAGACCAGAGACAATCTGTTAAGTCTTCCTATCGAAGAGAGTTGTTTTTGCAATTTACTACTAATTTAGATGTTGCTCGGTAGGAGCCAAGAGCTTTCAATGGCCGTATGACTGTCCCAGAATAATTTTATTGACTTGTGTATGAGGTTGGAGTCTTCCAATTTTTCTGCACACAATTCAGTGGCGTAAATTTCCGCTTGAAATACAGTCGCATAGGTTCCTAGGGAGGTAGATATCTCTGTCCTGGGTCTGCGACTAAAAACACCTGCACCAGAACCGAAAGGTGTTTTTGACCCATCTGTGAACCAACAACTATCTGCTCTTAATATTTCTTTCTCCCGGAGGATCCAGTCCTCTCTACTCGGGAACAATACTTTATAAGGCAGTTCGTAGTTGACAGTTGGAGTCATAAAGTCAGAGGTCATTTCCAGAATGCTGTGACTTCCAGTGTTAACCAACAGTCTGATGCACTCTGTATTAAATTGATTGGTGCAATTGGCAATGTGCACAAGTTTGTATGCAGTCCATCTAGCCTTTCTCTGCAGGAAAATGTGGAGAAGAGGTAGATCTAAGAGGATCTTCATGGCCGCTGATGGTGTAATCAGGCAAGACTGTCTCTGTGAGCCAGAAAGCTTCGCCTGGGCCATTTTCTGTAAAGCCTTCGGCCACCAGGCAATTGTACCATAAGTGATCATTGTTCTGACAATCATCACATAAATCCAATTGATTTGTTTGGGACCTAAACCCTAAATTTTACCACAAATCCTTCGACATGTTCATAGAGACAGTCTGGCTTTGTGTAAAACTTTTTTCAAGTGAGCGTTCCAGGTGAGTCTTTTATCAAGGACAATGACAAGATATTTCACCTCCGTTCCAAATGGAATCACCTCACCATTGAGGGAAAGTGGCGTTAGATCGTCCAATTTTCTCCTCCTGGTGAAGGGGATTATCACAGTTTTGCTGGGGTTGACAAACTCCAGGCTCCCTCAAGCGCCAAAAAGTGTACAACGTCTAACGTGCTTTGGAGGATATTACAAGCTACCCTTCCTGACATGGACCTTGCCAAGATAACAAGGTCGTCTGCATAAGCTTGCAGATCTACTTTCCTTCTGTCGAGGGCATCAAGCAGATTATCCATCAGGAGCGACCACAGAAGGGCTGCCCTTGAGGGCAGCACCTGGTGACCCTGAACCTAATGGCCTCATCTTGAAGAGTCGTAGTTGCAGTTCTGTTAACCAGCATGGCATAGATCCAGCCAGTTATGGTCGATTCTATACCTTTCCTAGCCAGATACGATCCTATAGAGTCAAGTAGTGCATGCATTGTCAAATGCTCCTTCAATATCGAGAAATATAGCAACCGCAGTGAAACCTCGGTACCATTTTCCAGCCGTTTTTCTATTTGTTTGTGATATTGGCCAAAATATTCACCTCACGTACATACGCTGTCTGTTCAGCGTTTTTTTCCAATTCTCGAAGCAGTTCTGATATTAAATTTTTGGTATGTTCTTCAGCTCTCTCAGTGATTTGGTTTTCATCTCTTCAATCGTCGCGAAACGCCGTCCTTTCATGGGGGTTTTCAGTCTGGGAACAGAAAAAAGTCGCAGGGGGGCATATATGGTGAATACGGCGACTGATGCATGATTGTGGTTTTGTTTTTGGCAAAAAAATTAAGAACAAGTACTAGAGACCAGGTGTATTATCGTGATGTGAAAGCCAGATATTGTTTTTCGCAAGCGGTGCATAACTTCCAGATCCTACTCTTTATTGACCATTCGACCATGTGGCAAGAGCTCCTGATGCACTACGCCTCGGTAATGGAAGAAAACAGCCTTGATATTTGATCAAACTCGACGTGCCTTTTTTGGTTCTGGCTTTCCTGGACTCTTCCATTGGGACGCAGCGAAGTAGATCACTTCGATTGTTGCCGCATCGCCTTTGATAATGTCTGCCGCAATAGCAGACGAAACGTCAGGTATATAAACCTGCAGACCACGGCTTATGAACTCGGAAATATGAGACTTGTTAGTGAAATTTTTGTTGCCAAGACTGTGACTTAATTCTTTGTGTTGAATGGAATGATGATAATGACTGTTTTTAAATAGTTTATGAGGGAGAGGACTGATTTTATTTCATTATATTCGGTTATTTTTTAATAGAGTATGCATTTTATGATTGTTAAATTCATAAACTTAACCAGGCAATGAGGCCCAAAGCAGGTTGTATGAAAATTTCTTTAGAAGTTATGTGCTTTTGATTTCATTATGAAAAAAAAATAAGGCATTCTAAGACGCTATTTGACGTTTTATAAACAGGCGTTGTTGATACACTTTTTGACGCTTTATAGACGCTTTTTGACGCTTTATAGGTGCTTTTTGACGGTTTGTGGCCGTGTTTAGATACTTCCATTACGGCTACAAACCGTTAAACAGCGTCTTAAAAATGCATCGTTTTTTGGGCATCGGTTACATCTTTCTTATCTTTGACACGGATATGCTTCATCTAAGTCGGTGCTAAATGCGCTCATACGTTTCCTTTCTTTTTTACACATTGAAAGTCCTATCTCGGCCCCCAGACAAAGGTAGTCTATTTACTGATAGTTATATTTTATTGTAGAGAGGAATGAAATTGAACGAATTCAACTAATGAAACTTGAGTTTCTTTTTCGTAATTTTGTGTTCAAATGCTTACCTCGTCCTGTAATCGCTGTCCACTAAAACAATCCATCATGAGTCCCCAGAACCATCCCATGCATACCAAAAATGAAGAAAGTGATTTTCTCTGAAATAAGTATCATAAACATGTGTATTGCCGAATTGCTGAAATTTTGCATACACGTTCGTTTAATTCCAATATGGCGAACTAGTTTTTTCATACATCCCCTTGATGGGGGGTTCTAATAAAAGAAAAGACAAAAGATCCATTTTTTTCGATAGCCAAAAATCGTCGAACACGCAAGACTTCTAACTTTCATGTCTCTCATCAACAAAGCAAACATGCTGATCAGCTGAAACATTGAACATATGTTTGGTAGCCCGCGAAATTTGAACATTCTCCAGCATGAAAAAATTGGAAACAGTAATTTGCCCACTTCAGAGCTAATTTTTATCGATTTTGTTTGATTCTGTTTAATATATCTTCTGGAATTACATCAAAAAAAACTTACTTGGTGCTATGGTTCTCTTTGGATATTTTCGAAACTATTAGGAATATTTCTAAATTTCTAAACATCACTTAGATAAGCTTTAAAATGGGCAACTTTTTATTATTATAAAGAATTTTGTCAGGAACACAGCAAATAAATGGAAATTACTTACATACCAAAAAGTTTTATAAGTGACATATGAAAAGTTCTTACACGAAAAAAGCAGTAAATTCCAGTGCCTATTACAGCTGATGTCAGAACCATGTGGGTGAACATAAATATGCTGAAGGCATCGTTGAGCTTATCTTCCAAGCTGAAATGAATATTAAAATTATAGTGATACATTTTTCAAACGTAAAGAAAACACTCAAAAATTGTAGAATCTTTTTGGACCTTTTCAATAGAACCAATGTCTGTTTTCTGTCTGTTCTGTTTTTTCGTTGATCAGCTGTCGCCCCCATACGAACGACAACTCTCAGAAGTTGAGAAGCATGTGCGAGTTAAGGACTAAAGAGGTCTTACCTTTTAACGTGTGGTTCCTAATGCTTATTACAAATAGGTCTCGACGTCAAAGAACCACATTTTTATTTTTATCGAACAAAATAATAATAAACAGAAGTAATAGTGCAAATATCACTGAAATATAACTGAAAATACTGTTCATGTAGATAATAAATAAGAGGGGGCCTGGTACCGTCCCTTGGGGTACACCGTATGTAACAGTCATCGCACTACTCATAATACCAACTATGCAGATACTCTGCTCTCAATTTCATGAATAGTCTTTCAGTAACTTGTATAGATTTTCCCTCATTCCATAGTTTTCCAATTTAATTAGCAATTTTTCATGACAGACAGCGTCGAATACTTTCGATAAACCTACAAAAATGCCTAGGGCCGGTTTTTTCACCGATAGCCTCATATAACTTGGATATTTGCCATGTCTGAAACCATACTGTGAGCATGAAAGGACCTTGTGCTTACTCAAAAAGGTGACTATTCTCACTTTAATTATTTTTTCCATTATTTTTGCCAAATTAGAAATGGAAGAAACTGGTCTAAGATCGGCTATTTTCAGTTTATCTCCACTCTTGAATAATGGTTTTATCGTTCTAATCTTCGTTAATTTTGGGAAAAATTCTCTACGAAAACATCTATTTATAAGATATGTGAGTGGTTGTTTTATTTCAATATTTATCATCAGGACATGAAAACAGGATCATCTCTGGCTAAGAAAGGTATAGAATCGACTATAACAGGCTGGATCTATGCCATGCTGGTAAACAGCACTGCAACTACGACTATTCAAGGCGAGGCCATTAGGTTCAGGGTCACCAGAGGGGGTGCTATCTCCCCTCCTGTGGTCGCTCCTGATGGATAGTCTGCTTGATACTCTCGACAGAAGAAAAGTAGATCTGCAAGCTTATACAGGTAACATTGTCATCTTGGCGAGGTTCACGTCGGGAAGGATAGCTTGTGATATCCTCCAAAGAACGATGGACGCTGTTCACAATTGGTGCCTGAGGGAGCAGATGTCTGTCAACCCCAGGAAAACTGTGATAATCCCCTTCACCAGGAGGAGACATGTGGACGATCTAACGCCACTTTCCCTCAATGGTGAGGTCATTCCATTTGGAACGGAGGTGAAATATCTTGGTATTGTCCTTGATAAAAAAATAACGTGGAACGCTCACTTGGAAAAAGTTTTACACAAAGCCAGACTATCCCTATGGACATGTAGAAGGATTTGAGGTAAAACTTGGGGTTCAGGAACCAAACAAATCCATCGGATTTATGCGATGATTGTCAGACCAATGATCACTTATAGGGCAATTGCTTGATGGCCGGAGGCTTTACAGAAAACGGCCCAGGCGAAGCTCTCTGGCCATCAGTGGTACCATCAGTACCATAGCGTCAGCGGCATAGAGATTCTTCTAGATCTTCTACCTCTTCATATTTTTCTGGAGACATAGGCTAGATGGACTGCATATAGACCTGTGTATATTGTCAATTGCACAAATCAATTCAATGCAGAGTGTAACAGATTGTTGGTTGACACTGGAAGTCACAGCATTCCGGAAATGACCTCTGACTTTATGCCTCCAACTGTCAACTACAAACTGCCTTATAAAATACTGTTCCCGAGTAGAGAGGACTGGATCCTCCGGGAGAAGGGAATATTGAGAGCAGATAGTTGTTGATTGACATATGGATCAAAAACACCTTTTGGTTCTGGTGCAGGTGTTTTCAGTCGCAGATCCAGGACAGATATATCAATCAGCCAAGGAACTTATGCAACTGTATTTCAAGCGAAAATTTACGCTATCGAATGGTGTGCGAAGAGATTGGAAGAATCCAACCTGATACACAAGTCAATAAAAATGGTCTCGGATAGTCAAGCGGCGTTGGAAGCTCTTGGCTCCTATCGAGCAACATCTAAATAAGTAGCAAATTGCCAAAAATGACTGTTCTCGATGAGAAGACTTAACAGATTGTCTCTGGTCTGGATTCCTGGAAATACTGGCCTGGAAGGCAATGAGGCTACTGACTTCCTTGTAAAGGAGGGTGCTGCAAGCAGCTTCATCGGATCAGAACCTGTCATGGGCATCGCTTTAGGTTTTGCCAAACAAAGAATGAACACCTAGATGACAAAAAGATTTATGGACTTCTGGCATAATATTCCAGGATTGGCTCACTACAAGGCGTTCATTCACCCTTCGAAGCTTGATACCAAACAGTTGTTGGATTACTGTAGGAATGAACTACGATATCTAACAGGCCTTCTTACGTGTCACTGTCATTTGAATCATCATATGGAGAGAATCGGACTGTCGCTAGACAGTGTGTGTTGCCTCTGTTTGGAAAAAGATGAAACAGCAGAGCATATACTTTGTGCCTGCCCCAGTGGGAATTCAATCAGGTTTTTAGAGTTCAGCAGAGCCGTATTCTGACCATCTGACCAGACCACTCACCATACAAATTAATCGGCTTCGTTAAGACGCTACGTTTATTTGGTCGAGTGTGAATAGGTGTAAGCCACAACAAAACCTTGCGGATTGCGGTGGAGGGTCGAATAGACCCACTCACTTGGGATCTAACCTAACCTAACATACATTGATGGGTTTGATTCAGTATACATTTTTTTTGAGTAAGTTTTCAAAAATACTTTAGTACTATTGATATATTTCATATAACCTATAGGCCTATAATATATTTTGCATGCACATACCTTAAAATCGCGTTGTGGTATTTAACTGCGAAGTTGAATTTTTCTCTTCTTTGTTGACAGTCCGTCTCGTCTAACGCATTAATGAAAAAAGATTTTACGTCCCTTATGCGTACAACAATATGTTGTATGGTTTCAAATACTTGCCATGCTAACAACCCCGCTAGCATGTATATGTGGTGATTTCCCAATAACTGAAGGGCCAAGTAAATTTGTTTAACCGGGGTATGGTTAATATCGAAGGGCATCCAGGTGTATGAAAAAAGCCCGCAGACTTCTTTGAGGTCATACAATTCGTTTTCTCTTTCGCATGATTCCCTTTTGAATACATTCGAAGCAAAAAGAATGAGTAAAATCAAACTCTCCAGGTAGAAGTAATGATATTTTGAATATGTGTTGAAAAGTTTGTTGTTCTCGTCGAACTTGACTGGTTTTCCGAATTCTTCGAAGTTGGACAAGAAGATGTACATTTCTGCACAGGCTGTCACTTTTAAAACAAATGAACCTATGAGGCCGTATGCCGTCGTGAACGATAGGATGTATATTATGTCCAGTTCGATGTAGTTATACTTTTCATCTGAAAAAAAAAGATACGTTATTTTCATTTGTTTTCAGAATACTATACACACATATAGATACCTCGAAGCTATATCTACTTATACGAGGTGTGTTCAAAAAATAATATTCAGTTTGTTGGTGAGAGGCATAAAAGTTAGAAATGTTTTCCGTGTTGGGCGATTTTCTGCGATCGAAAAAAAATGGATCAAATAATTTGCATAAAATTTTATGTGAACAAAATGGAAATAGGTTCTCAAAAACACTTGAAATGTTGATAGTGGCGTACAATGATTGTACTCTGATTTAGAAAAATGTTCACAAGTGGTACAAGCTTTTCATAGAAGGTCGTGAAGATGTGAGTGATGACGCTTGAGCTGGACGTCCCGGCACATCCACAACCGATGAAAACCTCTCCGGAAATTTTGATCATGAAGTGCGTGGCAGCGAAGTTCGATGAACATCGTTCAGGAATTTTTGAGTGACGTCAATGACGATCCAAATTTGCTTAAAATGGTCATAGCTGGTGACGAATCATGGGTACATGGTTATGAAATTGAAACCAAAGTACAATCGTCCCAATATAAGAGCCCAGGAGAGCCAAAACCAAAAAAACGCCAAGTTGGTTCAAATTTCAAGGTTTTGCTGACTGTTTTCTTCGATTACCTTAGTGTAGTTCGTCAGGAGATCTTGCAACTTGGTCAAACTGTATTATCTTGTTTGCGAGAAGCAATACGGAGAAAACGTCCGGTATTGTGGAAAAAAAATTCATGGCTTTTGCATCATCATTATGAACCGGCTCACACAGCCACTGTATTCACCAGATTTGACAACTTGCAACTTTTTCTTGTTCTCAAGATTGAAGAGACCCATGAAAAGACGGTGTTTTGGGACGACTGAGGAGATATAACCGTGTACTGTCTCTTAAATTTTTTGAATCCTATTTGCACGATAGATCACATTACATGGGATTAAATCGAATGTAAAATCTGTCAAACATGGGGTACCCCAAGGCTCTATACTGGGGCCAATTTTGTTAGTTGTACATATAAATGACCTATATTTTCCAAAAAATGTTTTCTTTTTGTTTACGATGCCACTTTGGTGGAGTGTCACAGTAATGTGAATGATTTGAGTATTTCTGCTAACGCCACCATGAAGTTTGCAAGCAACAGTTTTGTTTCAAATAGGCTTCCCCTCAACGAGGGTAAAAATCTTCCACAAATACAAATGTAACCTCGAGTAAATGTGCTAAGCTACTTGGGATCCATATAGACGACAGATTGAACTGGTCATGTCATGTTGACAAACCGGCCAAGAAATTATCAAGTATAATATTCGTGTTTCGTAGACTAAAGGAATTCACCGGTATCAGAGCGGTTAAATCTTCTTGCTTCGGACTTTTCCATAGTCACATGGTATACAGTGTAGTGTTGTGGGGGGATTCTTGTCATTACAAAAAAATGTTTGTTTCGCAAAAAAGAGTTATAAGTCTAATGCCTAATATCTAATGCCAACTTTAGAGATCATTGTCGCCCACTTTTTAATAATCACAAAATTATGCCGCTTCCTACAGCCTTTATATATGAAACATTGGTTGAAATTCATAAAAATAGATCCAACTCCATTTTACAATCGCAACAACATGAATATCCAACGAGATCAGGAAATCTGATACGAACTGAGAGATTCA